GAGCTGTCTCCTCGAGGCTCTCAGTGCAGGGCACCCTTGGTGCTGCTTGCTGGAGTCTTAAGGACCTGACCTAGGTCACTTCTGCCCTGCTCTGTGTACTTCATGGGTAGTTAGTGCATCAAAATTTACCAAAAATACACTTGAGTAAAGGTCAGGTTTGCTTTGAAATTTGGTGTAAATTATCTGAATGGATTATTGACTCCTGTTACTTAATTTTTTTTTTTTTTTTGTCATTTATGAGACTAATCTCTGCTCCTTTTTGTCTGGGGGAACCATAATTATTTTCATTATACTTTCTAGAATTAGGTAGAGAAACATTTTAAGGGCTTTTTTGTTACTGTGTATTACATAATTAAATAGAAGATCCTTGTATTTTATTTCCTTTGAAAGAAACGATTATGCATTATTTTAAAAGGGAACGTGCAGCCTTGCTGAGAGTTAACTCAACACATTTTGACCATACTAAGAGTTTACCAAACAAATTGCAAAAAGAGCTCTAAGTCACCTAACAGTTGAGCAGGTGGTGCTGTTTGCAGTGTTTGGTGAGCGCCCGTTAGCTGTGCGCCTGCCACGCCACTTCTGAGCAGCAGGGGGTGCAGTCGCTCTGTGGGCAGGAGACCCGGCACCCAGTCTTGCTTGCCACGGTTTCGGGTATTCTCAGTCAGCTGCAGCCTGAGAAGGTGGGGCACGTGGGGAAAGACTGCCCAGCCCCGTAACTTGCAGGCAGCTCGTGGCGCTGTTCTCAGTCTCTTGCTGTGTCTCGGGCGTAAGCCGTTCATGGGTGCGGAGGAGAAACAGTGTATGCTGGGCTTGGTACTGTCTGGCATTTCGGCACCCACCCGCACCCTGGAGAGGGAGGGCCCTGCAGCCAACACAAGCTCATCACGCCTCGAAGCTGCCCAGCCCAGGCTTCCCTCTGAAAGATAAAAGCGTAGCTCACAAGCAGTATTTTTCATGTAGAAAACAGAGTAATAGCGGTTACCAGAGGGAGCTGGGTCACCCGTGTCCCGGCCCAAATAGCAAGGGTGTGTTGCTATTGACAGCTGGTGCCTGGCTGCCTTACAGTGCGAGCTCAGGAGAGCCAGGGAGCCTGCGTTACAGTGTTTCATCCATTTCTGTTCTTGGCCTTCTAAACAAACCCCAGCTTTCTCTCTACCCCTTGGTGTCCTGAAAGGGAGCGTGTCCCTGGGACCCTGGTAGATACAAAGAACCTTCTGTGTCAGCTGATACAAGGTCTACAGGCAACATTCTTTCTACTTGTAAGTTTGCACTCCTCCCGTTTCCACTTCTCAGCTAGATTTCAGGCCCATCTTCAGGTCTATGCCGTGAGCTGTCTCTGTGTTTTATTTACAAGACAGTTTGTAAATTTGCAAAGCCAAATCTGTTCCCCGTCTGGGTCTCGCTGGCGTCTTCCCTTTGGCTTATTTTGTGCATAGCGCCTGGGCGTTCTTACCTGCGGGTTTGGCCACTCGTCGCAGGGTTTCTTAGAGCTCAATATTTCAGGAGGGAAAGGGACAGATTGAGACTATTCACTTAGAGCAGTGGAAATTTTGTTTCCACATTTTATTTTGAAGTGTTAAGCAATAACTTAAATATGTAAGATGTTTCTAGTTTCAATTTCACTGTGCTTTAGTGGGTTGATTTCCTGTTGCCGTCACATGGAAATCCTGTGCTCCCCATTTCAGCAGGTTACTCTTAATAAAGCCCTCACTTCGGGAATTGGGCTTGCAGGCCCTGTTCCGAGCACCGTCTTCTGTCTGGCATTTTGCGCGAACATGTCCTGACCCTGACAGCATTTTCTGGTAATGCCTTTCCTCCTTGGTGGCCAGCAGTAGGGTCACTGGAAAGAAACAGTGAACATGAAGTGGCCAAGAACATGTGCGACTTTTTCCCCCCCAAAATTATCCATTTGCTGTCCCAAGCTTAACAAAATAAGCAAAATGGAATCCGTCAGGGCCTGTTTGGAATAAAAGCTCATCGGCCACAAGCTGGTGTCCGCAGGCGCTCGGGGAAGCAGCCGCTTCAGCTTGTGCTGGCGGGGCACCCTGGCTGCGCTGCCCGCCCTCGCACCTGGCGCCTGCCGATGGGCCTTGGGGGCTGGCCTGGAACCCGGCCAAGCCAGTTTTCCTTTTGAATTGATAGGAGCTTAAAAAAAAAAAACTTTCAATATTGGAATGCTCTTCTCTTGCTTTTGTGCAGGCGGGTAACTTGCAGACTCATTTACGTCGGCATTCTGGTGAAAAACCGTACATCTGCGAAATCTGTGGAAAGAGGTCAGTGTGGGGCTTGTCCTCCGGAGAAGGGAACGGCTGGCGGGCTGGGTGGTTCTGAAAACGGGGCCCTTCAGTGAACGGGAGACACTTCCCCGGGGCATCTGGAAGGATGCGTGGAAGTCACCAAAAGAAAGGCTAGGTAACAGGAAATCTGGGAATGGGGCTTCCGTGGATGTAACTTTGTGGTGAAATGTTCATGTATTCCAGAAGTGTCTAGTAAGATAGCTTGATGCCCCCAGGTAGGTTATGTCCAGTGGGGGACGGGAGACCTGTAGCCTGAGGGCCTAGACTTCGGGCAGGGGTGGGAAGGCCCCAGGGGAGGCCCGTGAAGGCCTGTGGGAGGTCAGGTGCAGGAGGGGCGGGACCACACCTGGAAGCAGGTGGAAATGGGATCGGGGGTGGGGACTTGGCGTGACCAGTCTGAGGAGCTGGCCCACAGCCTGAGGAACGGCCCTCTGGCGCCCGCTCAGGCCTGCGGCATTGGCCTTGTCTCCTACACCTGTCACACAGCTTTTACTCATTTGACTGTTGCTGCAGTCCACATTTACTAAACACCTCAGCCCGCCAAGAACTGGGGCGGGAAAGGGCAGTGGGAGCTCCTGCCCAATTAGTGCCTGCTCGGGTCTGGGGGGCAGAACTGGCAAGGCACAAAGCCCGTTCCCTGGCTCCTGCCCCAGGACGCGAGGAGCCCCTCTGACTCAGTCCCAGGAAGGCAGTGGCCTCTGCCGGCGGCGGCAGCAGAGAAGGCGAAGCTCCTGGCCGTGCGGTCTGTCCTGCGGCTGCTGCCTGCGCCCGCAAGCCCAGCGTGGTGCCCAGCGTGGTGCCCAGCCGGTCTACGGGGCAGTGCCGCTGCACCAGCCTGCTGAGCTGCCAGCGCCCCCGCCTTTCACCCCGTGCCCTTGCGTGGGCCTTCCGGACGCCACTGGCGAGTAGGCGCGCTGGCTCCTGCCGCTGGGCCTCACCTTCCCCAGGGCACGGTTGGGCGGCGGCCAGGCCCAGGGCCCTGGCAGGTGGCACCCGGAGGCAAGTGAGTGGGCCTCCGTGGGTGACCAGTGAGGCTGGGGAAAGGCGTGTTCTAAAAACAAAGTACGTGTGACAAGGTGTGAAAAGTCAGAGTTCAGGTGACACCGGCCGTCCGGCGGCGCTGCGGCTTCGCCCGCCCGTCGGCTCTGGGCTGAGCGTCCACCCTGCGTTCCAGGTTCGCCGCCTCCGGCGACGTGCAGCGCCACATCGTCATCCACTCGGGGGAGAAGCCGCACCTGTGCGACATCTGCGGCCGAGGTACCGCTGCTGCCCCGTGGGCGTGGCCGGCGCGCGGTGGCCGCCCCTCGCGGGCCCCTCGCCTCATGTGTCGCTCTCCGCAGGGTTCAGCAACTTCAGCAACCTGAAGGAGCACAAGAAGACGCACACGGCCGACAAGGTCTTCACCTGCGACGAGTGCGGCAAGTCCTTCAACATGCAGCGGAAGCTGGTCAAGCACCGCGTGCGGCACACGGGCGAGCGGC